TGTATTCGCTAGTGAACAGAGTGAAGAGCACGTCAGAGCTGGCTCTGGTCAGAGGCCGTGTGGAGAAGAGGATGCTCTGCCAGCATCAGTTGGTGATTAAGTAGCTAAGAGCTCATTTGGTTTTCAGTGGTACAGCATCTCCATGCATGCTGGTTAAGTTCTGAAGCTAAAGACAGCGACTTACAACACTGCAGTCCCCATCACAAGGCAGAAGCTGTTGCACTTATCTCAGAGTGCAGCTGCCACCCCGAGTAACTGGACAAGGGAAGGACAAGAAGGGTAGAAGAGGCGCCTTGGATGGGTTTCCCAAGCTGCAGTAAGAGTTCTACTCTCTTTGTAACAGGGCAGAGAGGACAGAGGCCAACTTGCCAAGAGGCTGTCGAGAGGGACTGTGGGAGATGCCTCACATAGTAACAGCAGCGTGATGAGCCCTGTGGTCTGGATACAAAAGGACCTTCTTGGCATGCCTGAATTTGTGAGAAATTCCCTAAGAAGAAACCTGAAGAAGAAACTTGGAAAACAGGTGCAGGGAAGCAAGAGAGAGACTCGCTTTGCAGGTGCACAAGTGTGTTCAGTTGCAGTGTCGTGAGGAAAGGAGCGAAGAGAAGGATGTGAAGAGAAGGAATGAGGATGGTAGTTAAAGTGCTCTGGGAGATGACCCTCTTATCTAAATACGTACTGCTGGCCTCTGGAGATTCATTCCCTGTCCCTGAAACACCCTGGCTGTTCATTCCCATAAGCACCAAGCCCCCTCAGTCCTGCCATCACAGCTGTTTATAGGACCATGTAGTGATCCAGGGCAAGGACTGATTGCAAATAATCTCTTTTACGTTTTCCAGCCTGGTGTTAATCCAGATCATTTAAGACAGAAGAATCATCTGTATAGGTGAACCTGGTGCCAGCAGCACCCTGCAAAAGGTCAAAGTAGAAAACAGATGCTGTTTTTACAGGATACTGCAGTAAACTACCTGCAGCACACAGATAATATTTGCTCTTCAGACCATGGGCTAGCCCTTTTAACGTATTTGCTTTGGCTTTGAGGATGCATACTTGAATATTTCCTTATAGCTGGCTTGTCAGTTGGAGGTATAATCTTGAAGATTGAAGCAGACAAAGCTACGGCTTGTTTCATTGTGATCGATGTGAGAGAACTTCCTACAGGTAAAAGCTTTAGCACAAAGACCTGAGCACGTGAGTTTTAGACAGGCAAAGTTTGTAAGAGTGCTATGACCCATGGGACTTTAAAGTTTGTATCTCCATATCCTCATTTCCTAGATATACATCTTAAATGCAATAACACAATAACAGTTGGACTTGATGATCTTAAAGGTCTTTTCCAACCTAGACGATTCTATGATTCTATTCTATGAAATATGTTCAACTAGCAGTGTTGGGTGCCCCAAATACATCTCTTGTCTGTATTGGGGTGAAAATTGCACAGAAACTGTTGATACTGATAAAACACAGGTAATGCCTTTAAATATTTCTGCCCTGCCCTACCCTTCCAAGCTCAGATGTTAAAAAAATACCTGTATACAGGTGGCATTGTAGATGGTGGCGTGAGCCAGGCTCATGGCTCACCATCACTGAAAGGGGAAGGTCTGTCTCCTGTTCCTTCTTTCCTTCCCATTTCCTCCCCTTTTTGCTCATACCTTCATGTTGACCCCCAGCTTTAATTTGTGCTGACTTCAGTGCTGGCCAGATTCTTCACCAAGTCAATTCAATTCACAGACTCAGAAAAAAAGTAGATAGTTTTTCTTCAGATCTAGTGAGTTGAACTGGCAAAGCTCCTGGCACAGGTCTGGTGGGCAGAAGGGAGTGGGAGGGATGAGCAGGAGAAAATTTTCAGTTTTGGCTACAATGAGCTTTTAGCGCTCATCTGTCTTAGTAAAGAAACGGGGCTGGTGCAGAAGCAACAGTGCAGCTGCGCTCTACTATTCTGCAGGTAAGCCCATTCTAAAAAAGCAGTTTAATCCGGTGCATTAGACTGGGAGTCAGATGTCAGTGCTCCAGCATTAGCTTTGCCCAAAGTCTGGTTTAAAACACTGTGAATATAATTTTGCCCCTTTCTGCCTGCTTCTATGAATGGGAAATAATAGCACTGGTCTCCCTTGTAAAGCGTGTTGGTGTCTCTGAATGAGAAGTGCTGCTATTACTTCTCCTGACCTTTATTTTCCCACATGAACAACGTGTAAATTGTTCGTGGACCAATGTAGGTGTATGTCAATGTACATATCGGTGTGTGCCCTGAGGGGTTATCACCTGAGACTGCCTGTATCCCAAGTCACGCATATGCTGTGACCCTATTGCATGAAAATGGGGACAGGATTTTGGCTTGCAAGAGGATTCAGTGAGGCTGCCCTGAAGGACTCAGTAGCATGGACTGTGGATGCACACCTCTCCCACTGTAAGCAGAACCTGTTTTCTGCTCTATGTGAGCAGAGAGGGGGAAGGTGGCCCAGTGGTTATGCTGCTGGCCTGGGATGTGGCTGCTAACCTGCACCACGGTGGTGTGTCCTTCTTGTGCGAGCCAGGGGAAGTGATTTAGGGCCAGTCACTTCAAGCCTACATGCTTTGAAAATACTTCCCCTTAATTTCCCCATGCTTCTCTTCCTTATCTGAAAAGTGACTTTCAAGAATCTTCTGTCACATGGGAGTCATGTGGGAGATAAGTGGCCTGACATAAATGCCAAAGATAAGACTGTTATTTGAAAACCAACTGAACAGGAATTGAAATTCTCTGGCCTTTAGGGGGCTTAAAAAAAAAAAAAAAAAAATATCTTGGTCTTCATTGCATGGTTCTGGGTAATACAAATGCTTTTTTAAGATTTGGGGACCAAAAAAAGACCACAGTCTTTTTTTATCTTTTGTCTGAACTGAGATTATTGTGGCTGTCAGAAACTACAAATATCTGTTTGGTTTAGTTCTTTCATGATAAGCTGTACATCCAAACTGGTCCTTAAATGATCTCTCGGCTCGCCCAAAGGCCTCCAACTATTTGTTCTAACAATTGGACCACTGCTTGGCACTTATCTCCCTTAATACGCATGAAAAGCTAAGAGAATGTGGCTTGGCCAAACTTGGACAAGAATTTTTTTGTGAGCCAAGTTCCAGGCTCACACCCCATGCACCAAGAGGGACTTCTCACCCCAGAGTTGCTCAGAGCTCTGGATCTGACTCAGACACATTCCGATGAGATGCTCTGTGCTATGCTTACAAGTTTGGATTCATAATCTTTTTAGTAGGGCCAGCAGTGACAAGACAAGGGGTAATGGTTTTAAACTAAACCAGGGTAGGTTTAGACTAGATATAAGGAAGAAGTTCTTTACAATGAGGGTGGTGAAACACTGGAAAGGGTTGCCCAGAGAGGTGGTGGAGGCCCCATCCCTGGGAACATTCAAGGCCAGGTTGGACGGGGCTCTGAGCAGCCTGATCTAGTTAGCGGTGTCCCTGCTCACTGCAGGGGGGTTGGACTAGATGACCTCTAGGGGTCCCTTCCAACCCAAAACATTCTATGATTCTATGATTCTATCCTGGACAACAGCAGCCCTGAGCACATCTGTCAGAGCTGTGTGGCCGCTTTTGTTCACCCGAAAGTGATGGCAGAGAATAAAGGAAGAGGAAGGAAACGTATCTGCTGTGGAAATGTTTCATCTTTGTCCAATTCCTCTTTCAGATGCAAAGAGAACAAGCACAAAAACAGCATTACACCAACGTACAACACTGGAAAATGTACAGTGATGACTGCAGTAATAAAAAAAATACACAGCCTATGTGTAGGCTACGCAGTGCAGTGCAACAAATGGCAACACCTAAAGCTTTCTGATTGTGGAGAAATATCTGGCCCCAGGTTTATTGCTTCTGAGGCGACAGACTACAATCAAATCACAGCAACCAGCTTCCTGGAAAAGTCAGCTAGCTACAAATAATATATGCTGGTGATTACGCCATAAATATCTCAGTCAGTAATCTTTTGTGCATCTTGTGCATGCCAGCTGTAAAATATAATTATCAGAAGAGCAAGTACTGTTCTCAGGGGAAGTTATGTGGTTATCTGAAAGCAGACTGGCCTTGCAAAATGGACCCACAGTCTTCTGCTTAGGTTAAAGCAGACATGCTCTGCCTCTCTGGTCCTTGTTTTTATTTCCTACAAATTACAATACACTGGGGGGGGGAGGAAATTGTCCTTGCTTCCATTCCTCATATCCCTGCTTTGGGCTGCTGTGAAGTTCTAGGGAGTCAGAAGCAGTAAAGTCCTACCAGGTGCTTCTAAAAGCAACATGCATGGGGGAGAAGTTCTGTCCCTCTTCTGACACTTTCCCAGTCGTATGAATGAGGTAAAACTAATTGTAAATACATAAGGTAACGATGAAAATACTGGCTTTAATTGTGTTTCTCTGAACAAATCCTTGACCTTGTACAATGGAGTTTAGGCAGCAGTTATGAGTACACAGGTTTTTTGGACGTGTTTTGGGAGAGCTGGTATGTGTGCGTGTGTGTATGCCCACAGAAAAGCACTTGAAGATTAGAAGCAGATTTGAGCCTGAGGAATTGACTTCTGCTTGTGGAAAAACAAAATTCCCCCCAGCAAAATGAACATTTTGCAGACAACGCCTTTACTACAATGCTTACATCCCTTACATATTTTAATCTTTATTCTTTCTCTTTTCTTCATCTCAATTTTTACAGGCAAAAGGCTTAAATCAGCTGAAATGTCCAAGGGTTTCAATTTGAACTTAGATCCCCTGGGCTTCTTCCTGCAAAAGCAGTAAATGCACATCCTGCACGGCGTAGACCATCATCGGTGGTCAGAAAGGGCAAGGAAGCTTATCTGCTAGATCAGCCTATCATATCCATTATGAGCCAATTAAATTTTTCACCTAGGCTTTGTCAAAATCGGCCTCAGGTACATGTCTCTGTGTGTGTGTGCACGCATGGACATGCACGCCTGTGCACGCATGTGTGTGATCTACAGGAAAGAGAAGTGAAGGTGTACTCACCCGGGATCCTGTTGAGCGTCACCCAGAAGTGCTCGTCGGGGCTGTAGGTGTCCTCGGACCATGCCAGCAGATCGATGGCGCGCTGGTCCTGCAGCACAAACTCCACAAAGGGCCGGGTGACAGCCACGTAAGCGGAACCAAAGTAGATGGTGATGTTGTGGGGCGGGGGTGCCTTGCGCACAGGTGTCCACAACATGAAAGAAAATAAAGGGTATATTTTCTCCCTGTGCACATATTTGGTGCGGGTGGTGATGTGGGGGGGCGGCAGCACCCCGGGGGTGATGTTCTTCCCCCCAAGGCCCTTCAGCA